AGCATCTCAGGCACACTAGCACAGAGGCTCCTTGATTGGATGGAGGCGATGGGGAAGTTGCTGGGAAGATGGTGGCCGTCCCGTTAGACACCCGTTAGACACCCGTTAGACACCCGTTAGACACCCGCGTAGACCTGTTTTGTTCAATAAAATTTCATGTGTAAAAAGGAGACTCAGGCCAGAGGGATGCGGCTGTTGGTCTGGTGCAGAGCAAGGTGGTCTCAGAGGCCCTCTCCGAGCTGCCGGCTCCTGCCTTTCGCAGGCGGAGGCCTTCCTCAGGCTTTCTGCTTTCTCTCCACCAAGGGCATCTTTCCCTTGGTGACTGCCATCATGGCAGTCAGGTGAAGTCCCTGCAGACTGGAAGAAGGGGAACATCACACCCATTTTTAAAAAGGGTAGAAAGGAGGACCCTGGGGACTACTGACCTGTCAGCCTCACCTCTGTGCCTGGGAAGGTCATGGAACAGATCCTCCTAGATGCCATGCTTGGGCACAATAAGGACAGGGAGGTGATCCAGGACACCCAACATGGCTTTACTAGGGGCAGGTCCTGCTCGACTAACCTAGTGGCCTTCTATGATAAAGTGACTGGGTCAGTAGACAAGGGGTAACCTATGGATGTGATCTATCTGGATTTCTGTAAGGCCTTTGACACGGTCCCCCACAACATCCTGATTGCCAAATTGGAGGGGTACGGATTTGATGGGTGGACTGTTCAGTGGATAAGGAACTGGCTAGATGGTCACATCCAGAGGGTGGTACTCAATGGCTCAAAGTCCAGATGGAAACCAGTCACAAGTGGTGTTCCTCAAGGGTCCGTGCTGGGGCCAGTGCTGTTTAACATTTTTATCAATGATATAGACAGGGAGATTAAAGGCACCATCAGCAAGTTTGCGGACGATACCAAGCTGTGTGGTGTTGTCGATACACCAGAGGGACGGGATGTCATCCAAAGGGACCTGGACAGGCTGGAGAGGTGGGCCCAGGTGAACCTCATGAGGTTCAACAAGAGCAAATGCAAGGTTCTGCACCTGGGCCGGAACAATCCTCGCCACCAATACAAACTAGGGGGTGAGGTATTGGAAAGCAGCCCTGAGGAAAGGGACTTGGGGGTGCTGGTGGACGAGAAGCTGGACATGAGCAGGCAGTGTGCAGCTGCAGCCCAGAAGGCCAATCGCATCCTGGGCTGCATCAAAAGATGCGTTGCCAGCAGGTCCAGAGAGGTGATTCTGCCACTTTACTCTGCTCTGGTGAGACCTCACCTGGAGTACTGTGTGCAGGTCTGGAGCCCTCAATATAAGAAGGACATGGACCTGATGGAGAGGGTCCAGAGGAGGGCCACAAGGATGATCAGGGGGATGGAGCACCTCTGCTACGAGGACAGGCTGAGGGAGCTGGGGTTGTTCAGCCTGGGGAAGAGGAGGATCCAGGGAGACCTAATAGTGGCCTTCCAGTACCTGAAGGGGGCCTACAGCAAGGCTGGGGAGAACCTGTTTAGAAAGGCCTGCAGTGACAGGACGAGGGGAAATGGCTTCAAGCTGGAGGGGAACAGATTTAGACTGGAGGAGAGGGTTCTTTACTGTGAGGGTGGTGGAGCACTGGAACAGGTTGCCCAGGGAGGTGGTTGCCCCCTCCCTAGTAGCGGGCGAGAGCAGGCAGAAGCGTGGTCCCCAGGATCGAAGCCAGTGGAGCCCTGCAGGGCTGATGGGCCGTGCCACAGTGCTCTCCTCGTCATGGCTTCACCGGAGGCTGCTATTCACTATCCCCTCCGAGAGCTACTGCACTTCACCCTGGTCTGCCCAAGCTCCAGGGCAGCGCTACAGCTACAAAATGCCCAAAACTGTAATGCGGTGGTGGTAGGAGGCGGGGGGGGGGGGGGGAAGCCCAACCAACCCCGACGCCCACTAAGAATCATGAGAGCCTGCCGCCACCCCGACACCACGGCTACTACTGCACGCTTCCCTTCCTGGAACCGGGCAAAAGACAAAAAACAACCCCAAAACGTGAAAACACGCAGGCCCGAACGCCTCTTGTCAGGGAGGCGACGCTGCCCACAACGCCTGGGGTGACCCTCACACAGGCAATGGCCCACCGGGTCGCCGCGGCGCGGACAGAGGCTTCCACCCCTACCGGCCCGGTGCCCGCCACCGGCAAACGGCCGCCCGGGGCCTCCCGGCACCGCTCTTGTGGCCGAGCGCCCGCCCGGGGCCTGCGAAGGCAGAACCGCCCGTGAGCGCCGCGCGGGGCGAATAACGGGCCCCGCCGGGGGCAGCCGGAGCGGGCGGTGACGAGGCCCCGCCCTCCCCACGTGACTCGCCGGGGCCACGCCCGCCGCCCCCCGCCGCGGAGGGGGCCGGGCCGGGCAGGGCCGGGGCAGGGGCGAGGGCCGGGCGGCGGCGCTTTTTGACCCTCGTCCGTTTCCGTATCGCGGCTCTGCGCGGCGGAGGTCGTGCCGGCAGCCGGGCCCATGGAGCGGGGTGCGGCGGCGCCTGTGTGGCGGCTCCGCGCCGGCGGCGGCCACCGGGACCGCGACCGGGCTCACCCTCCGCCGCCGCGGGAGGAGGAGGGGGACGACGACGACGGTGGCGGAGACACGGGCGGGAAGAAGCGTGGCGGGTCGCGGCGGCGGCGGCGGCTGGTGGTGCCGCTGTCCGAGGGCCGGGGGGCGCCGGCGGTGCTGCTGTACCTGCTGGGGCTGCGGGCGCTGGTGCAGCTCTCGCACCGGCAGCTGCTCAGCCAGCCCTCCCCCGCCGGTCCCCGCGACTTCAGCGCCCCCCGCGCCAGGTGCGGCGGGATGGCGGCTCCCGGCGGGGCAGCCCCGAGACCTGCCCCGTGTCGGGGGCAGAGTCCGGCCGGCCTTACCCCGGGTGCCCTTGGCCGCCCCGCAGGCCGTGCGGGGTCCCTGTGGGGAGCCGTGTGGCCGCCGGCTGAGGGGCGGTCGGCCTTTGCGGGGCCCCGTGTCCTGCCCCGGCCTGGGGAGAGCTCGGAGCTCGGGCGGGCGCGTTGGGGAAGGGGGTGAAGCTGCTGCCGGGGCTCCTGCTCCCCTTTGGCCACCTCTTCAAGGTGCTGCTTCCAGCCTGACCCAGCGCTGCGCCCTCCGCGGGTTCATTCTCAGAGCGTTAAGTTTCTTGGCGGGTTTTTAAACGGGTGTGAATCTTGCAGAGAGCGTGCACGTCCAGGCTTTCAGGGAAGAGCGTGTGTGCTTATGCAGAACCTCGCTAAAGATAAAATCTTTAGTGTCTCCTTTCGCCCTTCCATTTCCTTTTGGATTGACATGTTCAAACCAGAAAAACAGTAGTTTGTTTTAATGTCGTGTAAGATAGGATGAGGGGCCCTGAGTAAAGATCAGTACTGTGTGCCCGTTACCATAATGATCTTTGGCATCTTGTCTGCAGTTATGGGCTAATGGGCTTTATTCTCTTCCACTTACTGTCAGTTTCGCAATAGAACAATGAACAAAAATGTTACAGTTCTAGATAAGTTACATGCTAAATGTTGAACATGTTGATGTTGAATGTGTAATTTATCTCTTACAGGGGCTATCTTGACAACATAACAGCAATTGGGCCCAGAACAGTTGGAAGTCCAGAAAATGAAGTTCTTGCAGTTAACTACCTCTTAGAACAAATTAGGGCAATAGAAAGAGAAAGCACAGATGCTCACAAGTTATCCGTAGACATACAGAGGCCCACAGGCTCCTTCAGCATTGACTTTTTAGGAGGCTTTACTAGTTACTATGCAAACATAACCAATGTTGTAGTGAAGCTGGAACCACGAAACGGAGCTGAGCATGCAGTGTTATCCAATTGTCACTTTGATTCCGTACCAAATACCCCGGGTAGGTCCACGTGTTCCTTCTGCGTTTCTGTATATTACGTGGGTGGCAGAGCTTGGCTCGCTGTCTTCTCACACCAAGTAGCCTTATAGCCACATGCTAGAATACTGCATGTGTCAGCTATTCTGCTTGATCTCAGTGAGATTCAGTATTTAGAGTGACCAGTTGGTCCTGTTGCAGTAAGGGTTTCACTCTGACTTTCTGGTAGGCAGCAAATTGCAGATACTGTATTTAGATTTCTGCAAAGTGCTTCTACAAAAAGCAGTGTTATATCTGCTTTTCTTGTAATTTGCTGTTTATGCATGTAGTTTGTGTGCTGCTTCCGCCTGCCGTTCAGGTCTTTCCATACTTCTGTGCTCTTTCTTTCTCAGGGTGCTTTGTGCTAGACACTGTTCCCACCCCTATTAACCAGCCTGTGTTTTGCCCTCCCTTTGCTGGTATCGTACTTTATCTCAAGTTCTTAGTGTGATATCCTTAAGCTATGCCAATTTCTTTTCCTTTCTGCATTCAAAGCTTCTGTCTCAACAGACTGTAGTGATCAAAGATTAAGGTGCTGTTGCCGTGTAGTGTATATATCTCTCTCACTACTTGCACTGCTGCATCCTCTCTTACTCTTGTCCCTCTGCATTCTTATAAATCTAATCATGTTGAATAATTATTGCAGCCAGGGTGTGAACAGCTTTGTAAATACATGGTTTTAACAGTGCTAGGAAGGTAGGGAACTGAAAACAGCACAAAAACATCTGTTGTAACACTCAGCCACAGGTGTGCGTCTGTTACTGCAGTTGAAAAATACCTACAGATTTCAGTCACCAACAGCTCAGCTTTTACTGAAATGTCTTCATTTACACGCCATACGATAGCTTATTTTTGGGAGCGAACCTTCTGTTCTTTAGCACATGCTTCATTATTGAGAAACCAGTAGAGTGTTAGCTAGAGAAACAAAGCACATGTGCTTTTTTCTGTCAACAAATAGTATACAGAACTTCTCTTTCTCCTGAATCATATTTAGGTAAGATGAGTTTCCAAATTAAGCTTAATAACTGCATGATTATTATACACGCTCTGTGATTTAGGAACTGCAGAGGTGCTAATTACTGTATTTATAGTCTAAATATGGCTGCCTAGACTTGGAAAGTATACTTCACAGGCGTAATACAATGATTGTTGAAAACTGTCTTTAAATTAATGTCTTGTGTAAATTGTGTGTCTACTTCTATGGATTGTAATGCAAGATTATGTCTGCATCAATTACTTTCTTTACAGTTACTTAGACAGTAAAATATTTCACCAACTTTGCACAGAGGTGCCAACAAATATTAGTGATTTGTATAGTGGTTTAGAGAAATCTGCGGAGGAGCTTGAAGTCAGCCTGAATGCTTGCCCTTAATCACAAAGCAGCCCAGCCCTTTACCACAACAGTGAGGAGCTGCTCTTTTATTTTCTTTGTGTGAAACTTGGGTACAAGCTAAGCAAGAACATTTTGTTTTCTGTTCTGCAGTTTACTTGCTTACAGTATTTTTCATTACCCAAAAGGTGTTATTTAACTGGAATCAACAGGACTCAGTGATCAATGAGTAATATATTGGAAAATTAGACAATAAAACATAATCTGCTGTTGATGCTTATGCATACAAGACAAGTAAATCAAAACTTAGTAAACCACTAGACCTTCAGTGTTAGAAAGCTTAAGTTCCTTGTGAAGGAAAAACATAAGCTGTAAACTCCTAAAATATGTCTCTTGTTCTAATAATACTAATTTTCAGTTTATATGACCTATATGATTCTTTTCTAATAAACTTGAAGGCAGAAATAGCCTTGAAATTATCATCACAGATGCAGCTGATAACATGATTTTCTTAGGTTACTCGTATTTGCCATAAAAACTTTTAAACTACCATCAGTTTTGTTTTATATGAAGTATTTGAGGATTATACTTTCTCTGTGAGCTTGTGTCATGATCTGTGGCTACATGGCTGCTTTAATCAGTTGTAAACCTGTATGTCTGTTGAAACCAGTAACTTTTTATTTTTTGTAGCTTCACAGCAAGATAGATAAAGTAGATAAAGTCTTTAATCTTGCTGAAAACTATAATCGTTGCAGACTTTTCAACACAGCATAAGTTGCATAAAAGAACTCAGTGGGGGGAAGAGTAGAAACCGATAAATTTGGGTAGCAATATAATCAGGGCTTTAAATCAAATAGTTTTGGGGCGCTTTTTGGAAAGCTTTTGGCAGAACAAGGCGTTAATTTCTGAGAAATAGGTTGGAGAAGAGTGTACTGGAAAGATTTTGGTTTTGTTATTTATTTAGTCTCATTGCAGGGGAGGTTGGACGAGATGACCTTTAAAGGTCCCTGCCAACTCAAACTATTCTATGCTGAGGCCTCACCATGCTCCTCTTCTTATCTCAGTGCATGTCAACATCATGTGTACAACCCAGCCCTAAAGGAATGAGGTTAAATTTCTCTGCTCCCAAATTTTACTGATAAGGCTGAGGAAGGGAGGTGCTAGAGGTTACACCAAAGTAAGGGAAATGGGGCCATGGGAGACCTAGGCTAAAAGTTGGATGCTTAATCAAGACAGAAAACTGGTGGGGTGCGGGAGGAGGTATGAGGAAGGGTGGTGGAAGGCATCTGATCATGGACATACTGTTTTATGATGTGTACTTTCATTTTAAGAATGTTATAAAGGTGTGAATTTCAGTGTTTCCTTTGCTTTATTTTGCAGTCTTGGCCTTATGTTACTTTGAGGATTTGTCCGCTTCCTTGAATGCATTGTAACAGTGTAGAATGCTTTAGGGTGGCTTATGTGGGAATGTTTATTTTTAAAAATTTACCTATGATGTAAGTGAAAATTAAGTCCTTGTTTATTTGCATTGTTCTTAGGAGAGTAGGTAGTGATCACTTTGCTCGCTTAGTAACCTGGTTAGTCTGCTGCTCTCAAATGCTGGTATTGGATCTGATATCTGGTGCTTCATTCACTCAGCTTTTGAACATTATTTTTCTTTCTGCTGTTGCTTTTAACTATTATAGGCACAGGGTACAAGCAGTAGCAGCAAATACGCTAGAGCCTGACATAGTTTTACTTTGGTTAGATTAAGTGACTGAGTTAGCATGAAGTTCTTTTTTTTCTCTGGTGTTTGTTGCAATTCTGTGTGTTTGTTGTAAACCGTGCTATTCTGCCAGGTGCCAGCGATGATGCTGTTAGCTGTGCAGTCATGCTTGAAATACTCAACACGCTTTCAAAATCATCAGAGCCCCTGCAGCATGCTGTCATATTTTTATTTAATGGCGCAGAAGAAAATATCTTGCAGGTGAGCATGTGCCAGAATTATAAAATGTATATCCAAGCTGTGTGTTAAGGCTCTGACAAAGGAAAGAGTAACTGCAGATACAGCCTGTATTTAATCTGTTGAAACATTAGTGAAATGCCAGCCTTAATGTTCTGAGGAGACTGTGTTTGGTTTCAAAGGGAAAAATATCCTTAGATTAAGAATACTGTCCATATTAATGTAATTAGAAGACTTGGATTTTCTGCATCTGTTTGTGTTGTAAGTGATTTGGCAGCCTTGTTCAATCTTGAGTTATGATCATACGTGATGGAAAATCTGAAAGATATTTGACCTATATTTTTTTTGTTTGTTTTCCCATCAAGGCTAGTCACGGCTTCATTACACAACATGAGTGGGCCAAGTCAATTAGAGCTTTTATTAACCTGGAGGCAGCAGGTGTAGGAGGAAAAGAACTTGTTTTTCAAACAGGTATGAGCTTGCATTGTGTCCACTTTCTACTCTAGGATAATTTGATAATAAACAATGTAGACTTGAAGGAGTATTGAAAGTGACTCGTAAGCAAAAGACAGGAGAACCTCTGTGCCTCTTTCCCAACCCTGTGCAGTGAATAAGTTGCCCTCCATCTTTAGATACATGTAGGCTAAAGCACTGCCACACAAGGTGGGAAGCATGTGTAGAACAGAATTACAGAAGTTGCATTTCCCTATTACATCAGGGTAATAAGGAGAAAAACAGGTTTGGGTATCTCGTATATCTTGTGTACTCATATTTTCATAAATTTTATTTAGTTTTCACAGCAGTTCTTTCAAAATCTTTGCAGGGAGATGTTGGCATTAGACTCTTTCTGCTGCTCAGGAAGCAGCAAAACTTCTGTGGAAACTCTGCTAAAGATTGTGACTTGGCAACAGCATTAAAACTTTAGTGACTTCCTATGCATTATTTCTATAATATATATTGTTTATAATATATACTTTATCTAAAGATACATACCCTAACTGAAGTTCAGAAAAGTACTTGTTGTGAACTTTCTACTCTTTATTAGGACCTGAGAATCCTTGGTTGGTGCAAGCTTATGTAGTTGCAGCCAAACATCCCTTTGCCTCTGTGGTGGCACAGGAGATATTTCAGAGTGGTATTATCCCAGCAGATACAGACTTCCGTATCTACAGGGACTTCGGCAATGTTCCAGGTATGTTACCAGAGGACACATCAATGCACATTATGGAATCATTTGTCTTGAGTTTATAACAAGGAGACTGTTCTTCAGTCCACTACCTGAAGGTCCTCAAATCTGGTTTGTCTTTCAGTTTGGGAGCAAGTTTTCCTGCTTTTTTTCAAAGGCAAGAGCCTTTAGATTTCATTTGTTGTGTAAGTTGTTAAGGATGTTTTTTTTGGAGTTTCTTCCAGGAAGAAACTACATGGAAGAAAAGTTTCCTGAAAATCAGGAAAATGCTCCAGAATTAAATATTCTGGTTTGAAACATTTTGGTAACAATGCTAATAACCTTGTTGCAGGTATTGAATCTCTGTACGTAATGGATAAACTAAAATAATCTTTTTTAAGGTAGTGACTTAGTGATTAATGCATTTTCATTACCTTTTTTTTTTTTTCAAAATCAAGGACAGGACATCAGTTTGCTTATCTGTTTACAGTTTGTTGTCCATTCTACAGAGAATGACTGGTGGCAAAAAAATGTGGAACACACAGTGCAAACACAATTCAAAGGAATCTAAACTTCTGTAAAATCTGTGCTGTTTGGCACAGGTTGTCATTGGAGTCGCTTTCAAGAAAAGTGATATTTCTGAACTGATTCTTGGAACAAAATGTGTTGGCATATTCTGAACTGTTCGAAAATACGCTTCTAGCCTGAAAGTAAAGTAGCTGATTTGGCACAATGTGTACATTATTTTTTTCAGAATTGTACCTGGATCATAAATGGTAAATAAATACTCACTGCCCTTTTTTTTTTTTTTTTTTTTCCCTAAACAAATAGAAATAGTAATCGAGTAAAAGAATTAGTTTGATCCTTTTTGTCCACTGGTAGAATTGAGGTCTGATTTGTGAAACTTCTGCAAAACTGTGAGGATTCAGATTGCATACAGCAGCTTTTTGCATATGCAGCTGAGGGTGTGGGTGTTTGGGATACACTGAATGTGTAATTAATTTTTGCGTAATATCTTTTTTTGTTTGTAAGGGTGTTTTTTCTTTATTTTTACAAATTATTTGAACTTTTAAAGCTCTTTTAAGAGTTTTCAGACTGGCTATTTGAAAAGCTGTTTACAAATTGGAAGTAAAAAGAACACACCTGGTATTTTGAGCAGCTGTTTCTGTAGTTCCACAGTACTGCTTTTTATTACTTGTCAGCATGGATCTCTATTGATGTTTTAATAGTAAATGTTTGGAAATCACGTTGTATATCTTTTCTGAAGTTGAGATGACTTAAGAATTTTCATGTTTCTCAAGTAGAGATCAGTTTCTCTACAGATGTCATGCAAATCAATACATTAGAAAAGACTGTTATTTAAAAATGTTTTTAAAGTGTCTTTTTTTTAAACACACATGGAATCTCAGTGTTTCTTCTACAAAGCAGACTATTTGGTTCATCTTAAAGGGTAATGAGTGGGCTACAAAGTAGAGCAAACTTTTCTGTGGAATGTATCCAAGGCTTTCCCATGTTTGTTTTGGGGTTTTAGGTTTACATAATTTCAAACATGTTTTTTCTCTCTTTGTAGGAATAGATTTGGCTTTTATTGAGAATGGCTACATTTATCATACAGAATACGACACATCAGACAGAATTTTAACAGATTCCATTCAGAGAGCAGGTTGGTGTTTCTCAATAATTTTGGTGATTTACTAACGAGTAGTGTTGTAGCTGCTTTTTCATTTTGCTATTAAGACCACCATAACAAGAAATTCATCAATTTAAGTATGAATTTAGAATATGCTAGATACGTTCTAAAGAACAAAGAATTGACAGAATGCATGTCTTTGAAATACAAAGGAAATATGTTTGGTCAACTTGGGAAGATAAACTTTATCAGTATCCAGTGATGTTGATTTGAAAGTATCTGTGGAATCCTATAAAGGTTATAATCTAGCCTTTTATACATGACTGTTCAGCATTCTGAGTTCCTTTTCTCTCAGTAAGTCCTCTTACTAATTAATGTGCATGATGAGAAGCTTATGGTTAGGTTGGAGGCACAAAGACTGATCCACCAACAGAACTTTTTCTTGTAGAAGGGACCTCACTTATGTGGTAGCACACAGACTGTGGATAAACAGGATTTATTTTCTACTAACAGTTTGTGCTCATAGCAGGCTGTTTGACAGACTGCAGTAAAGAAAATGACAGTAAGACCTTTAGTTTCCCAGGAAGAACTAACATAATCCTAAATGCCTCCAGGATTTTTACAATTTCCCTCTTTAAGCTTATACAGAAGCCAGCTTAGACAACCAGCATGAATAAGTTTTAAACACTTTTTTGCATCAGTGCATTTACAAGACAGAAAGTAACATGTCTAAATTCCTGTTGGAAAGATGATTTCACTGGTCATGGTGATTACGCAGAACATCTCTTGTTAAATGTATCACAGCCAAAAAAAAAAAAAAAACAAAACAAAACTCTTCAGCCAATAAGCACTCCTACAGGTCACGTAAAAGCAAAATAAAAGTTGAGAACAATTGTTCTCACTTGATTGCATGTGTTTTGGCTGCACTGTGGGAAAGAAAAAGGTGGTTGGTACCTGTAGGCTACAAAGGAATCCACCTTACAATCGTCTAGGGAAAGAAAGGCAGGTAATTCATGTTCATTGAAACATTGAGGGGGTTACTGCTGGAAAGGAGAAGAGGAGGAAGATTAGGAAATTATAAACTCTTCTATGGGTCAGCCTTGAAATCCAACGGTTTAATATCAGACCCGAAGAAGGGCTGATGGGCTGAAAGGTTGACTACTCCCTTCATTGCAACAGAGCTTAAATACATGAAGCTTCCCAAGTCTACTGATTTTAGTGACAGCTGCCTAGATTAACTCATGAAAGTACTATGCTGTGCATACTGTTAAATACCTATTTCAGAATAATCAGTTGTATATTCGTTTCTTCTTTAAGGATATCTCAATACAGCTTTATTTTTAAGAACACGTATTTAAAAGAATGCTGTGTACTAATTCATCAACCTTAATGTAGTTATGTTGTGTATCTGCTTTTTTAATAGGTGACAATATTCTAGCTGTACTAAAATACCTAGCAACATCAGATAAGTTGGCTAAATCTTCTGAGTATCGACACGGAAATGTTGTGTTCTTTGATGTACTTGGTTTATTTGTCCTGGCTTATCCTGCCCGTGTTGGCACCATCATGAACTACGTAACAGCAGCAATTGCTTTTCTTTACTTAGGCAAGAAAGTATTACAGCCCAAAACCAGAGGTAAGTCTAGTTCTTAAAAAAAAAAAAAATCACATTACTCTTTACAGAATACTAATTAGTAGATGAAGAAGCGTTCAGGTGATTAAGGCATCTTTTTAATGAACTTCAGAAATAAATTTTAGGTGTGCAGCAGGCCATAGGAATTGCTCTGTGTTTAAATCTCTCAACTGTGAATAATTATGATGAAGAAAGACTGTGATAGGCCTAGAAGTCTAGCATTTATGAATCACAATTATTTCTCTTATCCTCTCATGAAGATTAAAATCAAATCTTTTTAAAGACCTGAAAATGGAAAAAAAAGATTTGCTTAGTATCTCTATAAACTCTTGGTTCTGTTAGCATAGGTGGGGCTTCAGAATCATGTTCCTTTAACACCTGTCAATAGGCAGGAGCAAATAAGAAAACAACAAATGGGAGAAAAAGGTAACAAAGATTAATAAAGGGTGTAAAACAAATCTTCTAGTTAGACCTTTTCAGGTATTTGTAGGAAAATACCTGTTTAAAAAAAAAAAACAAAAAAAAAAACAAAAAAAAAAACCAAAAAACCAACCCAAAGCAAAACACAGACGCACACACACCCCCTTGCTAAATCCAGCAAACGTTTTTGAAGTAAGAAAATGTTATGAGAAAACCAACTCCAATTTGTGTTGAGGTTTTTTGAGGCTTTATAGATGGTAGAGTGACTCCACTGTTTCCCTAGGGAAATTTTTACTGTCGGGAACGCAGTAATCCACAAAATACACTAGTATTCAGGGAATAAATCTTGCAGTCTAGAAGACTTGCAAAGAAATGGGCTAAATTATTTAGAACACGCTGTTAGGAAATCTTCAGAGTGTACTCGTGCAGTGTTATTCTGGTCATTAAGTAGTTACGCTGTGGGGTGCTTCCAGTCTTGATGGCAGTCTGCAGTAGCGCGCGTGACTGTGGAATGAAACTTCTTTTTGTTTTTCTTTTCGTCACAGCTGTTCAAAACCTGAAGAGATTATTTACTGCGTTTGGCCTAACGCTGTTGGGCTGGGTCTGCACGCTGGTGGCAGTCCTTATAGTGGCAGTGTTTGTCTCCGCCATCGGACGGTCTCTGTCTTGGTACAGCCATTTCTACGTGTCCGTGTTTCTGTACGGCACTGCGGCTGCAGCTCAGCTCATTCTTGTGCACACACTAGCCAAGAAGTTTTTCTACAAGGTAAGCTTGACATCCTCGCCAATGTTGAAGGGTAATGCGGTGCTCAATCTGTGGCAGACTTAATTTTTGAGTTGATTGAAAAGGTGCAAAGAATTTTCTGTATTGGACAGAAGTAGTTAAAAATATGAGCCAGCAGTGTGCCCAGGTGGCCAAGAAAGCCAATGGCATTCTGGCTTGTATCAAAAATAGTGTGACCAGCAGAAGTAGGGAGGTGATTGTGCCCCTGTACTCAGCACTGGTGAGGCCACACCTCGAGTATTGTGTCCAGTTTTGGGCACCTCAATACAAGAGAGATATCGAGGTGCTGGAGCGAGTGCAGAGGAGGGCAACGAAACTAGTGAGGGGGCTGGAAAACAAATCGTATGAGGAGCGGCTGAGGGAGTTGGGACTGTTTAGTATGAGGAAGAGGAGGCTGAGGGGAGACCTCATCACTCTCTACAACTACTTGAAAGGACACTGTAGAGAGGTTGGTGCTGGTCTCTTCTCGCAGGTAATTAGTGACAGAACGAGAGGGAATGGCTTCAAGCTCCAACAGGGTAGGTTTAGATTGAACATTAGGAAGGAATTTTTCACTGAAAGAGTGATAGGGCATTGGAACAGGCTGCCCAGGGAGGGGGTGGAGTC